CCCTCCTGCCTCTCAAGGCCATGCTAAGGAGCAGCGGGGGGCCTGGCCACGGCCTTCTCAATGACAGAGCTCCCGGAGACGCTGGACCCGCCAAGGCAGGGCGGTGGGACGCCCAAATCTGCTGTCCTTCTCAACACGGGGCCCTGGCCTGGCCAGGAGGAGCGTCACAGCCAGATGGCACCCACGACCCTGCAGGAGTCCCTCGGGCCCTTGCCACCTGGCTGGACCAGCCCTCCTCCTGCAGGAGTCCCTGCCGAGCTGCCTCCCTTCCTGATTAAATCCTCCCCCTCTCCGAGGAGCCTCCTCTGAGACGCCCTTGCTAAGTCCCTAGCACGTCTCATTTCCATTTCTACGCACACCCTGGGTCCACATCCCAGCCCCGCTGCTGTGAGTTCCTGGGCAGGGCATTGCCCCTTTCTGAGCCTCGGCTCCCTGGTCTGGGGAATGGGTACAACCTCAGCAGGGTCAGAAGGATTCACAACCCCACATGCAGAGCTCTCAGCTCCTGGCCAGCCCTCCCTCAGCGGCCCCACGGTAGGAGGTGGGGGGTTTCCAACCACAGGACATAGAGGGGTTCCCTGGGGGTGTGGGCAAGTGAGAGGAGGACTCAGTGTCTCCTTTGTGGCTCTGCCTAGCTGCAGAGGGAGAGGGAGGCGGGCGGGACCCAGTGACTGTGACCACTGACCCTGAGCCAAGGGCTGTGTTTTCTATTGCTCAAGAAGCCCCTGGGTTAGGAGGAAACCCAGGCAAATGGGCCAGAATGACTCGGCCGAGGCAGCATCCGACCCAGACCCAGCACCATTCCCGCGGCCTCGGTGCCCAGCTATACCCCTGACTCTGCCCCTGGGATCCCTCTTCCCTGCCGGAACTGCGCCCCGTGCGTCTGAATCTGGTCCCACCCGGACACCAGCGCTCCAGGGACATTTTTCTGTGCCCAGCCACGGCCAACGTGGATACCGGAAACGGGGTGCCCCCTGCCTGCCCAGCTTCGGCTTCTCTGCCTGGGCACAGGAGACGGCACTACCTGCCTGGTCCTCTACACGGGGCTTTGCAGTCTGTGCCGGGTGTTTATCCACGCCACAGCACAGGCCCTGGAGTGGGAACCGCTGGGGCCTTGCTCCAGTGCAGAAGGGGCTCCAAGAGGGAAGGAGGTTTGCTTGGGGTTGCAGCTCAAGCTAGACGCAGAGCTGAGATTCAAACCACACGAGGCTTCCCTCCAGCCCGCCCAGGCACACCCCGCCACACTGTGGGGGAATCCTTGTGAAGCCCTACTGTGTGCCTGTGGGGCTGTTCCCTCTGGGACTGGGGTCAGTCTTCTCCTCGGCCCGCTGAGGTAGGTATAGTCATTCCCACTTCACAGATGTGGATGCTGGGCACCAGAGAAGGCACGCAGCCTGCCCCGGATCACGTATCTAGGGCAAGACGGGGCTCCTGCATTCCAAGGCCCCACTCTGTGCCCCTGCCTGTCTCAGGTCCAGCAGGATCCAAAAGCCCAGGTGAATGAAGGCCTCTCCCCATCAGGATGACATCCCCTGGATGTCAAGGGAAGTTGGTCACACGCTGGCTTCTCCCCGGAGCCACGCGGCAGAGTCCCATCACTGCTGGGGACATCCCACTGCCAGGAAGGACACCCCAGTACGCTTCAAGGGAAATGTCCCCATCTGGTTCTTATTCATTTATACTTAATTAATCAGAACGTTGTTTTGTAAGAGACACTTGAGATCCAAGAACCTTTCTCAAGCCCTTTCTTTGGTTCTTTCTTGTCCTAGGAACGCAGAAATTGGGTTTCATCAAACACCAGTGACGCTAGCGGGTGAGCAAGGCCAGGTCTGGCGGGGCCAGGCCCGGAGGGCAGAGGCTCAGGCCGGGCTGCGGCCAGGCCCAGTAACCGGGTAGAGGCCAGGGAAGGGCATGGAATGGTCACTCCTGCACACAGGGCAGGCCCAGGCCTGCTCACCTCGGCGTCCCCATGGGGCCCAACCCAGAGCCTGGCACAGAGGCTGCCCTGTAGCACGTGTTGAATGAGCATAGGAACGAGTCAATGAATGAATCGATGAATGAATGACGCACTGTCTCCTGCCGAGGGTAGATGAGAGGCCAAAGCTGTGGGCCCCTCGGGGATTGCAAGCAGATGCCTTATGAGAAACGGTCTCCGATGTGTCAAAAACTCCAGAAGGGATGTCCTCTCCACCCACTTCTCCACCAGGCTCTGAGAAGTCATGCGGCCCAGAATCTGCTAAATCCAACAATGCCCAAACCTACAGCTGCCACAGAGAGTGTGCATCTGCTCCCCCGCCCCAGTGACAGCGGGGAGCGCTGATGCTGTGAGCTGCCGGGGGAGAAACCCCCCCACCCCCCACCCAAAGTCACCCAGCACCACCCAGCAAGGAGTGGGACTGCAAGCCAAGGCCATCGCCATCGCATTAGACTAATAAAAAGACCATGGCCTCTCAGAAGACGCTGGGCAGGTGTGTGTCCTGGAGGCAAGGGGCCAGCTACGGGTGGGAGGAGCAGCCGTCCTGACTGCTCACTGGGCGCCTGCCAGGTGGTGGCGAGCTGGGGATGAGGCGAGGGATCCAGAGTTGTCTTTTTGCTTTTTCATGTTTCCTTTTCTTTGTCCTCCTCCTTCTCTCTTCTTCCTTTTTTTTTTCTTTTCTTCTCTTTCTCCTTCTCTCGTCTTTTAGAACTGAGAAGCATCTTAAAGATCTTAGACCACAGCTTCTTCCCAGGTGGGGAAACTCGGGCTCTGAGCACACAGCTCAGGGGACAGTTTTTTTTTTTTTTTTAAAGATTTTACTTATTTGAGTGGCAGAGTTAGAGAGAGAGAGAGAGAGAGAGAGAGAGAGAGAGGTGTTTTCTATCCGCTGGTTCACTCCCCAAATGGCAACAACGGCCAGAGCTGTGCCGATCCGAAGCCAGGAGCCAGGAGCCTTCTCCCGGTCTCCCATGCAGGTGCAAAGGCCCAAGCACTTGGGCCATCTTCTACTGTTTTCCCAGGCCATAGCAGAGAGCTGGATCAGAAGTGGAGCAGCTGGGACCAGAACCGACGCCCATATGGGTTGCTTGCAGAGTGCCCACCCCAGGAGACATGTGAGCAGTGCGGCAGACAGATTGGGATCACTGTACAACCTTGGACAAGTCTGTTTCCCCCTCTGATTCTGTTTCCTCATCCAGAAAATATGTCCCTCCTCCTTCCACCAGGCGGTCGTGCATAACCACAGACATGAGGACAGAGACCCACGCCTGCTAGGAGCCTGGGTACTCAGCTGCTCATTTAACACATGCACTAGCTCAGTTCACCACAACCTTCATTACCAGTGGGGCTACTAGTCCCATTTTAAAAATGAATCCATGGGGCCAGTGCTGTGGTGCAGCAGGTTAAAGTCTTGGCCTTAAGCGCCAGCATCCCATATGGGCACCAGTTCTAGTCCTGGCTGCTTCTCTTCCAATCCAGCTCTCTGCTATGGCCTGGGAAAGCAGTAGAAGATGGCCCAAATCCTTGGGCCTCTGCATCCACTTGGGAGACCTGGAATAAGCTCCTGGCTCTTGGCTTCGGATCGGCGCAGCTCCGGCTGTTGCGGCCATCTGGGGAGTGAGCCAGCGGATGGAAGACCTCTCTGTCTCTATCTTTCTCTGTAACTCTGTCTTGCAAATAAATAAAAATATTTTTTTAAAAAATGAATCTGTGAGTAGATGGTGTTTTGTTTTGTTTGTTGGTTGATTCTGTTTTCATCTTTTTTTAGGACTGAGAAAGCCCCTAGAGGTCTAAAGGGCCCTGGGGAGGGGTCAGCGGCGGGTAGGGGAGGCAGCTGGAAACTGGGATTTGGATCCAGGAAGGCTAACTTCAGAGTCACACTCTCAACCACTAACAATGACCACTCACAGAGGAGGGGGTGTCCTCATGGGGCCCCAAAGCCCCCAGCTCACCTGAAGCCCACTTGCCTGTCCACCCCGCAGTCCTTCTGCAGCCATATCAGGCTCCCCCATGCCCCACCCCCAGGTCTCCCACAGCCCCTCGGTGCTTCCTCCACTCTAGGCATGACTGTGTCTACATGGGGCTTTCCCCAAATGGACCAGAAGTCCCCGGATTTTTATGCAGAGAGACACTGCATCTTCCACTCACTCGCTAAACAACTTGGCAGTTACCTAACCTGTCTGTGCCTCAGCACCCCAGCTTCATAAACCAGGACAACCCAGACGCCAGGAGGATTAGCGGGGTTCTGCCGAGACAGTGCTGGGGCACAGTGGCTGGCGCTGGGATGCTGACCCTCAGACTGGCATCCCTAGGCTGAAAGGCTGCCCAGCACAGGCAGGGGGCTTGCTTGCCCCCTCACTCTCCTCTGCCCAAACCAAAGACCTTCTGACCCGCAGCCAGGGGCTGGGGCATAGAACCCCGAGGAGTCCCTGGTCACCTATAGTCTGAACTTTGCTTGGTTCACCTTCTTAATGACCCTAGCAGGTTAGGAGAGAAAAGATGAGGCTCCCAGAGGGGCTGAACTTCTTTTGGGTCATCCCCAGACCAGTGAACTCGAATGCAGACTTCAGTGTGGCTCAGCTCACCGCAGGCGAACCCTCTGCGAGGTGATGTGGCTGACACTCCGTCCAGGGCTCAGCATGGATGCTTGAGATGGCTTCTAAGCCACCAACTTTGTCTGCAAGTCCCTGGCCCCTCATCCCCCCAGGCTGCCACTTGAGGCTTCCTGACTCTGCACAGAGCCACCATCTTTCCAAACCGCCAGTGAAGTTGCTACCACGGTGGGTGGGGGGCAGAGAGGCTGCGAGACCCTTCTTTCCTTGGTGGCCTCCTCGGTCCAGCCTGCTCCACAGCTCTCTGACTGGGCACCCTGGAGCCTCAGTCTTCCCATCTGTGAAGTGGGACTGACAACTATTTGGAGAAACCAATGGCTCAAACGCCACGAACCCGGCAGGTGCCCAAAGGGCCATCCTCGGGTCTTCCCCATTGCGCCTGCCTGGTCACCCAGCCCGGCCGCCCCTCGTACCTTGCTTCTTCCTTAGGGTCTGGGCCAGCATGTCCACGGCATGGGCGACGAGCAGCAGCCAGCAAAGTGGAGCCCGCATCTGGGCGACCTGAGTTGGGCGTGAGCCTTGGAGTTCTACGGGCGACCCGACGGCCCGGCAGCTGCGCGGGAGCTGCTCAGGAAGCGCCGTGCGCATCCGCGGGAGCGCGGGGTCGGTCCAGCCGCCAGGGACCTGCAGTCCGCCCAGGGGCCTGCCGCCAGGTCGAGTGAGGGCGTCAGTTAAACCCGGGCACTGCCCCTGCGGGGAGGAGCCGGCGCGGCGGGGGCGGCGCGTTAACCCGCTCGGGGCCGGGGCGTGTGCGGCGAGGGGCGGGGGGGTCTCCTGGACGCGGTACCAGAGGTCCGACGACTACGCAGCCCGCGAGCGTGCGTCATTCCCGAGCCCTGCGCACGTGCAAAGTCTCCCCGGCGGCCAGGTAGCTGCAGGTACATCGGCGGGTGCACGCCCGCAGGGCCACCGAGTAAGAGCCGCGAAGTCCCAGCTCTCCCCGCCCCCGCCCGCGGTTTTCTTTCTCTTCCCTCGCACCACACCCCTCTCCCTTCCTCCTCCTGGCCTGAGGACCATCCTTCGCCTCTTCTGGCTCCCCTGCTTTCTGCCTCACAGCTCCCTGCCCCTCTGTCTAGCCATGGCTCCTCTCCGGTCCGCGCCTTTACTGCCCCTCTTCTGCCCGCGTTCCCTTCGCAGGTTCAAGGTCTCCGTCTGCACCTGGCTAGGGCTCCGGACTCCCTCCCGCCTGCCTCTCCCTTCGCCCCATCCCTCTTCTGCAGGGTGGGGAGTGTGGGGCGGAGGCTGCACTGCCTGACTCTGTTTTTCTCTCTGCTTTCTTTCTTCAAAAAAGTCCCTAAGCTCCCTCTGGCCCCCGACCCTGAATGTTTCCTGCCCCTCCTGGGGGGGAGCCCCTGCTCTTTGGCTCAAAGTGACCAGCACCTCATAAATTCGCTGGTGACAGGGCCGGGGACCTGCACTGTGTCTCCTCCAACCTTATCACCAGGATGAGGAGCAGCTGGGTGGATTTTAACCCTTTCGGGGCCGATTCCCTCCTCCGTACCAGCAGCACACTTTCCCTGCCCGCGGCCGGCCCATTAGCGGCCTGGAGGACAATGAATGCTAGCTGTCAGTTTCAAGGCCTAGTGCTTGGTGTTGTGCTGGGCATGCTACAAATCCTTCACAACGACCCAGTGAGTTTCTTTTCTGATGAACGGCCCTTTTCAGGGGGACAAAGGGCAGCTTGAAGAGGCCACAGGGCATGCTCAAGGCCACACAGCAGACCAGCGGTGGTGTGGGTCCAGTGTCCAGAGAAATGTCCCCTCCACACTAGGGCCGCAGTTCTTCCTTTGGCCTCCGTGGCCTCTTCAGGGAATGGTGGCTGAAATCCCACCCTCCATCTCCAGTGACTCACTGAAGACCCAGGCTTGGCATGCCCCTCTGCCAGGAAGCCTGCCCTGATGCTCAGGGCCAAGTCCAACGCTCCCCTTATCAGAGCTCTGCTCACAGGGGGTGACTGTGGATGTGTCTGCCCCTCTCTGTAAACTGCCAATTTCAGGCCAGTGATGAAGTCTTACCTGGGCCCCTGGAGCCCAGCAGGTGCTAGGTGCAGAGCAGGTGTGCACAATGTGCAGCGAATGAGTGAGCCGGTGAATCGGTCAGTGCTCCAGGTGTGAGAGTCTCCCAGTCTGAACACAGAATGCAGACTCTTGGAGAAACAGGGTCACCCCAGAAGATGAAACCTTAGGAAAGTGAGAAGTTGCCTGCTATCCTCCCACCCCTAGTCCTGGAATCTCCAGAACCCACAGGGGGCAGCTTTGGCATGAGCCGGGCTGGGGAGGAGCAGCCAGTACAGGGAGTCCTGCAGATCCCGGGGTGCAGCCCTATGGGATGAAGCTTCTCACCCCATTCAACCCCACTCCCCACTTCCCACTCCCTCTGATCCGGCTACCCAGGCCCTTCCTCTCACCTCTCAAACATGTCTTCCCAAGGGCTTTTCCTTCTGCCTGGAAAACTCTCCCCAGATGTCCTCAGGACTTGTCTACACTCAGTGTTGCCTCCTCAGAGAAGCCCTCTCTGACCACTCCCCATAAAATAGAGCACCCAGGGCTGGCACTGTGGCATCCCGTGTAGGTGCCAGTTCATGTTCCAGCTACTCCGCTTCCAATCCAACTCCCTGTTAATACGCCTGGGAAAGCAGCAGAAAATGGCCCAAGTGCTTGGGCCCCTGCACCCACATAGGAGACCTGGAGGCAGCTCCCGGTTCCTGGCTTCAGCCTGACCCACAGCCCTGGCCATTGCAGCCCTCTGAGGAGTGAACCGGCAGATGGAAGTTCTGTCTCTCCTGTCTGTAACTCTGCCTTTTAAATAAATACATAGATTTCTTGCTTTTTGTTTTTTTAAACAGAACACCCATTCCCTCTATCCCCATGCTGTGCTTTATTCTCTAGATGACCAAGCATCAGAAGGCCGCTTCTGTTTGTCACTTGCTCGCTGGTGAGTTCTACAAGCGTGGGAGTCTCCTTTGCTATTCCCGTGTGCCTGACACACAAAATGATTAATAGATATTTGTGAATGAAAGAATGACTGTCCGAATGAATTAGCACTCATCCATTCCCTGATTCATTGTGGGCCCTCAACCACCAGACCTTGTCACAGTCACAAATAGATGGAGAGGTGCCAGGCTCCCAGCCTGCGTCCTGCTCAGCAAACCCTGGGGGCAGGGGCTCGGGTTCCTCCCAGCTTCCATCCCGCCCTCTGCAGTACACTAGCACCTGCCTTCTCAGTCTCACTTCTCGGGGTTGCAGGCGCCTGCAGTCAGCAGTGGGCTGGAGATATTAAAATGGGAATCCTAGAAAGAAACAATCCTGCAGTGTCACAGCACACCCCCCCTGGTCTGCGTGCGGTGCGGTGATGAAATCTCACAGTGTCACTCTGTCCCCTTGGGAATCTGCTATCTAGCATCTCCTCGCTGTACAAGCCCATGTGGCCATCAGATCCACTGTGCAAAAATGTGGTGCTTGCGTTCAGGTAGCCTTGTTATACGTCAGAAGGGTACTGACAAGTTCAGATAAGCCAAAGGGACTGAATGTGCTTGCTTGAAGTGAAACAAAGACATTACAATATTTTTATTTTAAGAGAGAGAGAGGGAGAAGGAGACCACATTCACATAACTGTTCCTACAGCATATTGTCATAAGTGTTCTATTTTATTATTAGTCATTGTGGCTAATCTCTTACTATATCTAATTTATAAATTAAACATCATAGATATGCATGTATAGGAAAAATATATATATATTTAAGTTTTGGTACTATCTGTACTTTCAGTACTGAAGGTTCTGAAAGGTACTACTGAGGTCTTGGAACATACCCCACTATAAAAGGGACTGCTGGACAGGGCTAAAGCTCACTGAGAAGTGGGGGGTGGCGGTGTTGTGTGGTGCAGTGGGTTAAGCCTTGCTTGCAACACCAGCATACCATAACAGAGTACCAGTTCAAGTCCTGGCTACTCTGCTTCTGATCCAGCTTCCTGCTAATGTGCCTGGGAAAGCAGCAGATGACCCAAGTGCTTGGCGCCTTGCCACCCATATGGGAGACCCACATGGAGTTCCTGGCTCCTGGCTTTGGCCTGGCCCAGACCTGGCCACTGCAGGCATTTGGGAAGTAAACCAGAGTATGGAAGATATCGCTCTCTCTTTCTCTTGCCTTCTCTTTCAAGCAAATAAATAAATCTTTTCTAAAGAAAATGCTCACTGAGAAGAGGAGGACTTATTGGAGGTATAGAGCTTGTCTACTCACATCCTATTGGCCAGAAATGTCAGATGACTACAACTACCTGCAAGGGTGTCTGGGAAATACAGTCTAGCCATGCATTAGACTACCCCCAGGAAGGAAAGCAAAAGAGTGTGGTGAACATCTGGCCCACTGAACACACTGGGTCATCTTCATTGCTTGCCTCAGGGGTGCAGTAGCTCCTGCCTCTGTCTGCCCTGGGCCCTATAAACTCTTCTTCCTAAGCAGCCGGAGGACCTGGATTTTTCACTCAGGGAAGTACCACTTCCTCCCGAGAATGGTGAGGGCTGTGGATGGCCCGTGGTCGGGTGCTCAGCGTCCTGGCTTGCTGGAGATTGAAAAGCTTCCTGGGATGCAGTCTCTGGACAGCTTTGTATAACCACCACCAGTCTGATTCCGAACTGCGTCATGTACCAGAGCCCCTCAGGGAACCCCGTTATGGCTCCAGTCTCCCCTTTCTACTGCAGCCCAATCCTCCAGCGACCGCTAATCTGCTCTGCGTCTCTGTAATTATGCTGCTATGCAAATATTACAGACTGGAATCCTGCAGCACAGATCCTTTTCGGATTGGCGTTCCCCACTCTGCATAACTTCCTTGAGATTCATTCCAGTGATTTCATGTAGTCGTTAGTTGTTGTTCCTGGTGAGTTGTGTCCTATGGTACAGATGTGCTGCTTCCGGCTTTTGCTTGTTAAGAATAAAGCTACCAGCCAGTGCTGTGGCTCAATAGGCTAATCCTCCGCCTTGCGGTGCCGGCATACTGGGTTCTAGTCCCAGTCGGGGCGCCGAATTCTGTCCCAGTTGCCCCTCTTCCAGGCCAGCACTCTGCTATGGCCCGGGAGTGCAGTGGAGGATGGCCCAAGTGCTTGGGCCCTGCACCCCATGGGAGACCAGGAGAAGCACCTGGCTCCTGCCTTTGGATCAGCGCAGTGCGCCGGCCGCAGCACGCCAGCCATGGCGGCCATTGGAGGGTGAACCAATGCAAAGGAAGACCTTTCTCTCTGTCTCTGTCTCACTGTCCACTCTGCCTGTAAAAAAGAGAGAGAGAGAGAGAGAATAAAGCTACCATGCACGTTTGTGTAAGTTTCTGTGTATCCTCTTTGGGTAACCATTTTTTCAATTTTTAAATTAGATTTTTGGGTCGTTAGTGTGTTCTAAGAGTTTCAGGCCAAAGTTTCCTGTTGGAGATATGACTTGCAAACGTGATCTCCTGGGCTGTATCTGTCTTTTCATCTTTTTTTTTTTTTTTTTTTTTAACCAAGATCTTTCCCAGGGCAGTTTTCTGTTTGATGAGGTTCCTTATGTCGAGTTTTCATTTCCATGGGTCATGCTTTTGGTGTCAAGTCGAAGATCACTTTCCAGTCCCAAGGCTCGAGAATTTTCTATTTTTTCTCAAATGTGCTATAGCTTTATATTTTACATTTCAGCCCATGATACATTTTGAAATACCTGTTGTATAAAAAGTGAAGCTCAGGCCAAGGTTCAGGTTTTGCCTATAAATGTCCAGCGGCTCCAGTCTGATTTGCTGTAAAGCCTCATCCACCTCCACTGCTTTGCTTTTACTCTTTTTCCAAAAACGAATTGGGTGTGATTTTGCGGATCTACTTGGGGCTATCTCTT